AATCTCCCCTCCCCCTACCGCATCCCAAAACCAGTCCAGCTCGTCCCTGCCTCCCTAACCTGTTCTTCCTCCCACCTATCCCCTCCTCCCACCTCAAGCCGCACCTCCATCTCCTACCGACCAACCTCATCCCGCCCCCTTGACCTGTCCGTCCTCCCTGGACTGACCTATCCCCTTCCTAACTCCCTACCTACACTCACCTTTCCTGGCCCCATCCCCGCCTCTTCGACCTGTTTGTTTCCTCTCCACCTATCCTCTCCTCTATCCATCTTCTATCCGCCTCCCACTCTCTCCCTATTTATTTCAGAACCCCCTTCCCCTCCCCCTTTTCTGATGAAGGGTCTAGGCCCGAAACGTCAGCCTCTCTGCTCCTATGATGCTGCTTGGCCTGCTGTGTTCATCCAGCCCTGCACCTTGTCGTCTTTGGATTCAGCTTGCCAACTTACCCTGGATCCCATGTGCTTTTACCTTCTTCATCAGTTTCCCATGTGGGACCTTGTCAAAGTTCTTGCTGAAATCCATATAAACTATGTCAAATGCACTACCATCATCTACACACCTGATCAGCTCCTCAAAAATTTCAGTTTTGTTATGCATGACCTCCCTTTGACAAAACCATGCTGACTTCCCCTGATCAAACTTTGCCTCTCTAAATGGAGATTAACAATCTCCTTCAGAATTTTCTCCAACAGTTTCCCTACCACTGACTGGCATGACATTCATTGCCTGTTATTCCCTGATAAATTCCTACTACCATTTTTGAAAAGTGGAACATCAGTCGACCTCTAGTCCTCTGGCACCTCCTTGTGGCCAGGGAGGAATTAAAACTTTTGTTCAGAAGTCCTGCAATTTCCTCCTTCATCTCTCATAGCACTTGGGATTCAACTCATCTGGACCTGAGGATCTAAGATTAAAAAAACAGGTAAGGCTATTGGTGAAATGAATAATAAAAGGTAAAAGCTCCATATCTGAATGCATGTAGCATTTGGAAGAAAACAAATGAATTCACACTGCAAATAGATAAGTATGATCTGATTGTTATCACAGATACATGACTGCACATTTATAGAGATTGATACTTATATATTGAAATATACAGGACATTTCAGAAGGACAATCAGTTAGGAAAAGGTGTAGATGTGGCTGTCTTAATTAATGATGATATGAACTCAAGAAAGGCTGTGTAGGCCAAGTCACTGAATGTATTTAAGACAGATATAGATGGGTTCTTAATTAGTAAAGGGATCAAAGCTACATGGAGAAGGCAGGAGAATGGGATTGATCTGCATATCAGCTATGATTGAGTGGCAGAGCATACTCGATGGGCCAAATGGTCTAATTTTGCTTGTATATGTTATGGTCAAAGAGAGATGACTGAACTAAGCTCAGGAAATTTGGAAATGGAAACATTTTGATAGTGATGAGAAATGGTAAAGGCAAAAAGTCTGATGTACAGATGCTGAACAGTGACCACATGGTACAGTGAGGTATACAGAGAGAAATAAAGGGAAATTATTAGAAATGTACAATGGTAATGTTAGTGAATTTTAGTCTATACATAGACAACAAAATCAAATGGACAAAAGTAGTCTTGAAGATGAAGTTATAGAATATTTTTGGGATAATTTTGTAGACTAGCATGTTTTGAACCTGATGAGAGAGCAGACTGTATTAGATCTGGTATTGCACAACAGTACAGGATTAATTCGTGATAAGGCACCACTGTTAGAACAGGATAAGTTCAATGTAATTGGGCAGAGTCAACATCATGTTGTTAAAGGGAAATCATGTTGAATGAATTCTTTAGAGTTCTTTGGAGAAGTGAATAAAGGGGAGCTGGCGGATGTACTGAAGTTGGTTGATAAAGTTCCACCGCAGGGAGGGAGTTGCATAAAAATAACATCCATAAACTAGTAAACCACACACTCAATGGCTTTGTTTTAGAGGCAAGAGTTTAACTTTCACTATGGCAGTTGCAGAAATTGGAATTCAGTAAATATCTGGAAATAATAAGCTAGCCTAGTGGCAACCGTGTCCTTATAATTATCATTCTGGTAAAAACATATCAGGTTCATTAATATCCTATAGGGAAGGAAACTTGTTGTCCTTACCTGGTCTGGGCCTATATGTGACGCCAGACCCACAGTAACTCTTCGCTCTCTGCTGGGCAATTAGCAATGGTTAATAAATTCTGGCACAGACAGTGAGGTCCACAGTTTGTTAATAAATTTAAAATTATCAAAGTTTATTGCAGAAAATAATGGTAACATGTTCTCAGGGATAACAAATGAGCTGGTTAAGAGGAAAGGGAAAGTTTGCATAAACAAGCCATTTTCTGACTGGCAAGCGATAATGAGTGGTGTGTCATATAGATCAGTGCTGGGGCCACAGCTGTTTTTAATTTTTATAAGTGACCTGGACGAAGGGACTGAAGCTATGGTTATTAAATTTATAGATGGTACAAAGGTAGGCTAACGAATGAAGAGGCCATAAGGAGACAACAAAGTCATACAGATAGGTTAACTGAGTTTTCAAAGATCTGTCAAATGAGTCTAATGTCGAATTGTACATTTTGGCAAAAGAATTAAACAGAAGCATATTATCGAAATGGTAAGAGATGGCAAAGCCTGAGACACAGAGGGAACTATGTGTTTTGGTGCATGAATCACCAAGTGTTAGTATGCAGGGCAGCAAGTAACGAGGAAAGCTAACAGAATATAATCATTTATCACAAGGAGAACTGAATACAAAAGTGGGGAGATTATGCTTCAATTAAACAGGACACCAGAGAGATTACATCTGGAGTATTGTGTACAGTGTTGGTCCTTATTTGAGGAATGATATCTTATCAAAACAGCTTCTAAACTGCCAACATTTCTTTTTCAGATGAGGATTAACTGCAAAGATGTTTCAGCTGCCACCCTCTATGATGTTCTTCATGACACACATTACAGGAAGAAATGGGACACTAATATGATTGAGACGTATGACATCGGTCGGCTGACAGTCAATGCAGATGTGGGCTATTACTCCTGTAGGTAACACTCCCGTCAGTGACTCCGTTGGTGACACCTCCATCGGTGACACCCCCGTCGGTGACACCCCCATCGGTAACACTCCCGTTGGTGACACCTCCGTCGGTAACACTCCCGTCGGTAACACCCCCATCGGTAACACTCCCGTTGGTGACACCTCCGTCGGTGACACTCCCGTCGGTAACACCCCCATCGGTAACACTCCCGTTGGTGACACCTCCGTCGGTGACACCCCCATCGGTGACACCCCCATCGGTAACCCTCCCGTCGGTAACACTGAAGACCCTTTTAAGAGCATACAGCCATAAGACACAGGAGCAAAAGTAGGCCATTCAGCCCATTGAGTCTGCTCCACCATTCATTGAGACCATGGCTGATCTGATAATCCTCAACTCCACTTTCCTGCCTTTTTCCCATAACCCTTACTTCCCTTACTGATTAAAAAATGGTCTACCTCAGCCTTGAATAAGGACCCAGCTTCAGTTATGCACTGCAGTAAGGATTTCTGCAGATTCTGTACCCTTTGAGAAAAGAAATTCCTCACCATCTCTGTCTTAAATGTGTGACCCTTTACTCTGAGATTATTCTCTCTGGTTCCAGACTCCCCCACAAAGAGAATCAACATTTCAGCATCTACCATGTCACGTCCCCTAAGCGTCTTAATAATTAAACTCATGAAGTACTGCATAGGTCCTGACTGTGTGTCCAGACTGAGCCAGAGATTAATTCAGGATCTGTATATATGTATATATAATTCATCAAATAAATTGTTCACAGACACAGGAGGCTATCACATGTTAATGGAGAGAGAGATGTTCACAGAGGATCAGGGAGCAGTTAGTAAACCAATAATAACCAACAGTAAATAAAGAATTGTTTCAGCTGATGACTTCTTCATGACAAATAATGAAAGAGAAAGCAGGAAATCCGACCACTCCACAACCTCATCAAACAGCCTCTGTTATTCAACTAGCAGTGGGCAGAGAGGTGAGGATTTGGGAGCCACACCATGTGCCTGTGCACTGCTGGAAGGTGGTGGGAGCATGGTCGGAGCACCCTATTGAGGCAGCTCAAGCCCATGAGAATGATCCAAAGCAGCAAGAACTCCCTGCATGGGAAGACTCCTATCATAAGAGGGATTGGTGGGAAAGGGATTAGCCTTTGGTCCTAAAAACTAATCCCTCTTCCATCCCTCGCCTGCATTTAAATCAAGACAAAATACTGGGATGCTGGAAACCTGAAACAAATACAGAGCATGCTGGAGAAACTCAGCAGGTCTATTAGCATCTGTGGAGAGAGAGAAAGAAAATTAATTTCTCAAGTCTGGTATGATTCTTCAGGGATTGGAGAATTTTTTTTAACTTTTGACAGAGGTAGAGGAGGTGCAAAAGTGAAAATTGTGTACAAGCCCAGTGCAAAAGACAAAGGAGTTGCTAATATGATGAAAGAGGAAAAAAGATGTAAAGTGGATATAAAATAAGCTGCAAAAGGAAGTGAATGGGTCCACTCTTGTAAGAGCAAAGTAAACAGAACATAAACAAGACAACACTGTGAGTGTAATGGGGTAGAAGAGAATGGAAGGGAAACGGAGAACAAGCAACATCACCTATCAGTTTCTGAAGTTATGAAGCTCAATATTGAGACCTCAAAGCTGAAAAGTGCCAAAACAAATCATGAGGTGTTGTTCCTCGAACTTTAATTGTGTTTTGTTGGAACATTTGCAGCAGGACAAAAATTGTCATGTCAGAGGCAGCCCAGTGAAGTGTGATATCTTCAAAGCAGATGTGAACAGACGCTCAGTAGCAGCAGTGTGTACTATCTACAAGATACACTGCAGAAATTCACAAAAGATCCTCAAACAGCACCTTCCAAACCCACAACCACTTCCATCTCAAAAGACAAGGGCAGCAGATACATGGGAACACCACGACCTTCATGTTCCCCTCCAAGCCACTGACTTGGAAACATATTGCTGTTCCTTCAGTGTTGTTGGGTCAAAATCCTGAAATTCCCTCTCTAATGGCATTGTGGGACAACCCGCAGCAGATGGATTACAGTGGTTCAAAAAAGCAGCTCACCGCCACCTTCTCAAAGCATTGAATGGTGGGACAGACTTGAAGGGCTGAACCACCTACTTCTGTTCCTATGTTCCTGATTACAGATGGGCAATTATTGCTGGCCTATCCAGCAACACTCACATCCCATGAATGAATAAAAAACAAAATTTAAGTATTGCTTCCTATTCCTGATAGGTAGCATACTGCTGGCTAACTGTGAATGGTGATGTAATGGGTACATCAGGAAATTAATTTGTATGATGCAAAGCTCACAGCAAAGATAATTTGAGCATTGCTCAAAAAAAACTCTGACACTCAACAGGACAATACACAAAATGCTAAACTAAGGGGACATCAATCTTTATACTAGATGAGAAGAGGGTGCTGATTGGTTGGCAAATGGACTTTGAATGGAAAGTGCCTTAGTTTGATAAAGGTCTGGAATGTACCACCTGGGAGCATGGGGCAGGCAGGTTCATAGAATCCCTACAGTGTGGAAACAGGCCCTTCGGCCCAACAAGTCCACACCAAACCTCAGAGCATCCCACCCCTACCTATCCCCCTAATCTACACATCCCTGAACAGTACAGGCAATTTAGCATGGCCAATCCACGTAGCCTGCACATCTTTGGACTATGGGAGGAAACCCACACAGACAAGGGGAGAACATGCAAACTCCACACAGACAGTCGCCCAAGGGTGAAATTGAACCCGGGCCCCTGGCACTATGAGGCAGCAGTGTTAACCACTGAGCCACATGCCACCCTGTTCGTGTGAGTGGTTTGGGACTGGAATGCAGTGTGTTAGCGTGTGGTAGAGGCAGGTTCACTCAAAGATTTCATAGGATAATTGTATTATTTTCTTTTGGGAAAATGCAAGGCTACAGGGCACAGACTGGGATGTAGCTCCTTAAGATGCTATTGTTATTTTACTGACAGTGTTTTTATTTTATTCTGTGTTTATTTCTGTTAGGGAAATGTCCAAGTCCACTGAAGAACAGAGACTTTGTTACTTTGCGTTCCTGGCTGCCTCTTGGCAATGACTACATGATTATCAACTACTCTGTGAAGCACCCAGTGAGTATCACTCCCTCGGGAGCTCCTCCTGTCCAGTGGGAAGCATGGTTTGATTCTTGCTTTTGAACGCACCTTGTGTATAATGTCACAGAATATAAAATTCAGGGTTCAAATGGAAGTCTTCCACAAGACAAAGATTTTATTGTTGCTGATAGTTTAGTGGAAGAGAGGAAGCAGCGTATTCTGAGACTGTACAGTTATTGGCCCAGACTGTGGCTGAATTTCAAATGACCTCTCCTTCAGACCACAATCTGAGGTTGACTTTCAGACCAACGAGAGGCAACCCGGTGGGTTCAGGAAAACACAGAGTCTGATTTTCCTGTACCTGAGGGAAGATGAATATTATAGCAATAAGTATTGAATAGAAGCAATATGATAGCAGGAAGCAGTGGTCTCTAACACTGGGTGATGGGCTCGAAACCCACCACAGCAGATGGTGGAAACAGTAAAGAGTAACCAAACACAGTCCTTGTGCAGACAAAGCGCCATCTTTAAACTGAGGATAGTGCCTATCATGTTGTGGGGCACTGTCACCGTTATAAAAGGAATAAACCTCAAAAGGATCAAGCAACTCAACACTGGGCAGCCATGAAGCAGCAGCCAAATCATACTCTAACACAATCTGCAGGCTCACAGCCCGGCATATCCCCCACTCAACCATTACCATCAAGGCAGGAGATCAACCCTGGTTCAATGGAGAGTGCAGGAGGGCATGCCAGGAGCAGCACCAGGCATACATGAAAAAAATTGAGGTGTCAGCCTGGTGAAGCCACCAAACAGGACCCTACTTGCCAAACGACATATGCAGCAGTGACAGTCACTCAGTGATCTCACATCCAACACATCAGATCGAAGCTCTGCAGCCCTATTATATCCAGTCGGGAATAGTGATGGACAATCAAACAACTTGCTGGAGGAGGAGACTCCACAAACCCAGGCTGGATTTTGAGATTTATCGACTCTGAACAGTCTATTCTCCCAGGGATGAACGTGCCTGGAGATTTGCAAATGATTGAATGAATTATGAATGATAAAATATTAGGACTAAACCCACACACTGAAGCAATTGTGTCCTCAGGAAATTGCTGCTGCACAGAAAGATCTATTCTCAATTCTAGATTGTTAACTGATATCACTGTCTACACTTTTATTTCCAGAAATACCCTCCAAAGAAGGACATTGTGCGAGCTGTCTCACTCCAAACTGGCTACTTCATCAAATCGAATGGAGCTAACAGCTGTACTCTGTACTATCTAACCCAAGTGGACCCAAGAGGTGAGTGCAAGAACAGAATACTCAAAGCCTCCACGACAAATTGATTTTGAAATTTGTCCTTCCAGTGGTTCAGTGAATAGATCTTGCACTATGCGTTGAGAACATGAGGAGGCCAATCAGCCTTATCAGCCCAGCCTAGCATTCAATACAATCATGACTGATTGGCATCTCAACTTAATTTTCAAATATTTTCAATACCCAAACCTATCTACAGACTGGTGAGTCTCACATCAGAAGCTATTGGAAGGAATTATTAGGGATAGGATTTACGCACGTTTGGAAAAGCATGGCCTAATCAGGGACAGTCAGCATGGTTTCGTGCAGGGCAAGTCATGTCTTACTGAGTTCTGAGGAAGGGTCACTGGACCCGAAACGTTAACTCTGATTTTTTTTTCACAGATGCTGCCAGACCTGCTGAGCTTTTCCAGCAACTTCTGTTTTTGTTCACGTCTTACTAACTTGCTTGAATTTTTTGAGGTGGTGAGAAAGGTGATCGATGGGGGTAGAGCAGTGGATGTTGTTTACATGGATTTTTAGTAAAGCTTTTAACAAAGTCCCTCATGGTAGGTTCATCCAGAAGATTAAGATGCATGGGATCCACAGTGACTTGGCCGCATGGATTCAGAATTGGCTTGCCCATAGAAGACAGAGAGCATGGGTGGAAGGGTGTTTTTTAGGCTGGAGGTCATGACTAGTGGTATTCCACAGATATCCGTATTGGGACCTCTACTGTTTGAGATATATATATAAATGCCTTAGATGAATATGTAGATGGGTGGTTAGTACTTTTGCAGACAATACAAAGATCAGTGGAGATGTGGGAAGTGTAGAGGACTGTCAGAGGATACCACAGGATATAGATCAGTTGCAGATATGGGCAGAGAAATGGCAGATGGAGTTTAATCCAGGTAACTGTGAGGTGCTGCACTTTGGGAGATCAAATGTTAAGGAAAAGTACACAGTTAATGGCAGGACCCTGAACAGCATTGATGTACAGAGGGATCTTGGAGTTCAAGTCCATAGCTCCCTGGAAGTAACCTCACAAGTAGATAGGGTGGTAAAGAAGGCGTATGGCATGCTTGCCTTTATTGGTCGGGGAATTGAGTACAAGAGTCAGGATGTCATGTTGCAGCTTTATAAGACTTTGGTTAGGCCACACTTAGAGTATTACATTCAGTTTTGGTCGCCACATTACAGGAAGGATGAGAAGGCTTTGGAGAGGGTACAGAAGAAGTTTACCAGGATGCTGTCTGGATTAGAGGGTATGAGCTATAAGGAGAGGCTAGAAAAACTCAGATTGTTTTCTCTGGAGTGGTGGAGACTGAGGGGAGACTTCATAGAAGTGTATAAAATTCTGAGGTGCATAGATAGAGTTGATAGACAGAATCTTTTTCCCAGAGTTGAAATGTCTAATACTAGAGGCATGCATTGAAGGTAAGAGGGGGCAAGTTCAAATGAGATATGGGAGTCATGTGTTTTACACAGAGAGTGGTAGGAGTCTGGACACACTGCCAGGGGTAATGGTGGAGGCAGATACGATAGGGGCATTTAAGGGACTTTTAAATAAGCACATGCACATGCAAGGAATAGAGGGGTATGGATAAATGGCAGGCAGAAGGGATTAGTTTCATTTGGCATCATGTTTGGCACAACATCATGGGCCAAAGGCCCCGTTCCTGTGCTATGCTGTTCTATGATCAATGTTCCATGTTGTATGTTCTATTTTCTTATACAAATCTTCTGGCCTCATCTTAAAATCTCTGATTGGTTCCAGCAAGATGCACCTTTTGGATTAAGAGTGGGATTGAAGGGGCGTGAGGTTCGAGGGGTGAAGGAGGGCAGCTCAGCATCAGTGGTGGTCGGGATCAGGCGAAGTCAGGACTGTGGGGAATTTGTGGCTTGGGGGGAACTGGGGTTGGTGAGGTGATTAGGGCTGTTGTATGTGTATCTTGCCTTTAAGGGCATTCACCTTTGAGCACTCCATAAACATGTGTATACAGTGCTGTGACTGTGCCTATGAGTTAGTCTGCTTTGTATCTACACGATACAGATACAGGATACAGTTGGCTCATTGAAATGTTTGATTCATAACATGTCAAGGATTTTTACTGTTTTAAATAAACTAATCCCCAGAGTTAAATGATTGGATGGTTATCAATAATATGAAAGGTGAACAGTAGAGGGAAACATTGTGCTCCTTGTTTATTCATTTATGGAATGTGGACATCACTGCCTGGACCAGAATTGACTGCCAATCCCAAATGTCCAAAGAGCAGTTAAGAGTTAACCACATTGCTGTGGGTCTGGAGTCACATTTGGGCCAGACCAAGTAAGGACCCTAAAGGAAATTAGTGAACCAGATGGGTTCTTCCTGACAATTGGCAATGGTTTTATACTCATTAAACTTTTATTTCCAACCTGTGTACAAAGATGGAGGATATTAATAGAGAGGTAAACAAGTACTTCACATCTGTCATCACTCAGGAGAAGGAGGATGCAGGTACAGAATTCAGGCAAAAGGGAATGTGAGGTTCTTGAGCAGCTTAACACCAGGAGTGAGGAGGTATTGGAGGTTGTGGCCAGTTTAAGTATGAACAAATCCCCAGGTCTGGATGAGCAGTATCCCAGGCTGCTGTGAGAGATGAGGGGCCCTGATCCAAATTTTTAATTCCTCTCTGGTCATAAGGGAGGTGCCAGAGGACTGGAGGGCAGCTAATGTAGTTCCACTTAGGGTGGTAGAGATAAACCAGGGAATTACAGACGGTGAGTCTCACATCAGTGGTTGGGAAACTATTGGAGAAAATTCTGAAGGAGAGAATTAACCTCCATTTGTCACAGCAAGGTTTGATCACTAATATTCAGCATAACTTTGTCAGTGGGAGGTCATGCCTAACAAATTTGATTGTATTTTACAAGGAGGTGACCAAGTGTGTAGATGAGGGTCGCGCTGGTGATGATGTTTATATGGATTTCAGCAAAGCCTTTGACAAGGTGTCACAAGGGACACTCTTAAAAAAAGTAAAAGCACATGTGATCCAGGGTAACTTGGCAGGTTGGATCCAGAATTGGTTTGGTGGCAGGAGACAGGGGTGATGTTAGAAGACTTTGTGTGACTGGAGCCTGGTGTGCGGTGGCATTCATCAGTGCTGGGTCCAGCATTGTTTGTGATATTCTTAAATAATGTAAATAAGAATATGGAGGGATGATAAGTAAGTTTGAAGATGACACAAAGATTGACCAAATAGTTGGCAGTGAGGGGGAGGGTGTTAGGTTACAGGAGGTTCTAAATGGATTGGTCAGATGGGCAGATCAGTGGCTGATGGAATCTAACCCTGATAACGTGGGCGATATATTTCAGAAGAAGGAACAAAAAAAGGGATTACTCAATGAACATCAGGATACCAGGAAGTTCAGGGGAACTGAGGAATCTTGTAGTGCTTTTTCCTAGATCTCTGAAAGCTGCAGGACAGGTTAATAGGGAAGTTAAGAAGGCATAAGAGATGCTTGCATTTATCAGTCATGATTATGAGGAGGATATGTTGAATTCACCTTATCTATACCCATCATGATCTTAAAAACCTCTATAAGGTCACCCCTCAACCTCCTATGCTCCAATGAAAATATCCAGCCTATCCAGCCTCTCCCTATAACTCAAACGTTACTAGTGTAAATTTTGAGTATTTTTTTCTTGTTGCAAAGAAGCACTTCTATACCATGTGACACTATGATTCTATTATCTGGAGTAATTCATACCTAACTCCACTGGTGCAGTTATAAAAACACCAGTTCAAGTCCAAAGCAATGCTGGAGAAAATAACAGACATACAAAAAACTGTTGGAGTTGCACAACACACACAAGGAGCAGCAAATAATTTATGAACAAAAACAAAGTTGCTGGAAAAGCTCAGCAGGTCTGGCAGCATCAGTAAAGGAAAAATCAGAGTTAACGTTTCGGGTCTGGTTAAGGGTCACCAGACCCGAAAAGTTAATTCTGATTTTTCCTTCACAGATCTGCTGAGCTTTTCCAGCAACTTTGTTTTTGTTCCTGATTTATAGCATCCGCAGTTCTTTCGGTTTTTAAATAATTTATGAAATTGTGTTTTCAGAAATAAATAACAGCAGTGAATTTCTCATATACAAACTCAGACAGAATCTAGCAGGATCCAAACAAACAACAAAACAACAAGAGGAAGAAGAAACACAAGACAGTTAACAGAAGGAAGTTATGAAGGAGAAAATATACTGGTCCTTACTAAAAACTTTGAATTAGAAAAACCCAGGGTATGAAACCATATGCTTTAAAATGATCTGGGAGCTCATAAGGACCAAAACATCTCAACCACTTGAAACAGTTTAATGGAGGATATCAGTCAGTGACTGATCTGGAACAAAACCTGGCTGCAGTGCGTCAGGACAAGAAACTGTAATCCATGAGAGGAAATACTGATAATACAAACAGGAATGACTGCCAGTCATACTGATGACTATAGCAATCAACGACAGTGCCAGACAAAGTTATCCTCATGAAATCTGGGCGTAGCAGCAAATTGCCCACACTTCATGGAGACTTGTAGGCTCCGTTGTTACATTTCATTTTTTTTTATTGAGTAATGCGATATGGTATGTTATAGGCTGGGCCAGCTTTTATACTAGTGAGGAACAAGGGTTCTAAAAAGAGGAAAATCCAACTATGATTAACCAGGGAAGTTGAGAGCATCAAAGTGAAAGAAAAAAAATGTACAACATGGCAAAGATTAGGGGCAAGTCAGAGGATTGGGAAAGTTTTAGAAACCAACAAACGACAACCAAGATATGATACAGAGGGAGAAAATAAACTATGAAGGTAAACTTGCAAGTAATATCAAGACAGACAGCAAGAACTTCCTTAAATAAATAAAAAGAAAGAGAAAAACCAAAATAAACATTAGCCACTTAGAGAATAAATTTGGGGAAATAATAATGAAGAACCAGAAAATGGAAGAATAAATACTTTGCATCAG